ACTACTTACAATAGCTAGCTTAGCACAAATATCATATAAATAGGAACTTGTAAGAAAAATATCTTCTTATGTTCACATGTTCAGGATACACACAAGTTCTTGTGCTGTGTCATTATTTCCATCTGAGTTTGGTTGACTCTGCACATATAGAACTTACTGATATGAAGGGCCAAATGCATATGGACATCTTATGGTTCTGTTTCTGTGAATGAACACTGACTCTCTTTCTCTCTCTCTCTCTCTCTCTCTCTCTCACACACACACACACACACACACACACACACACACACACACACTCCTTATAAATTTGACCTGCCATTCACAGTGCACCTTGCAGGCAATTAGGAAGAGAAGGAAGGGAAGGTAGATATAAAAAAAGGAAGAATCCACAAGCATGAGCCAGAGCCCTGAAAGGACAAACTGGAAGCTGTGTCCGTTCTCGTTGCCCGACATCAATGGGATGGAGAGCCAGGCTCCTTTGTTACAGAGCTAAGTACTAGTAGCTGACTCCGAGCTGGAGAGGCTGAGGGAAGATTGAGGGGAACGTGTGACAGTCACAGGCTGGCTACTGCCTCAGGCCACTGAGGGGGTCCACAGATCAGCCACAAGACGGGAGCCACAGGAGCCCTCCTAATCTCCTACAGTTCTCCCATCATCCTGCTCTTCTTGGAAAAAGACAAAAAAGAGAACTGGGAAATGTGGTTCTACCTAACACGCTGCCACCAGGAAGCCACCACAGGTAGATATCGGAACTGTCTGTCTCCTCTTGCTGGATGACTCCTTTTTGAGGAATTCCTTGTCCTGTCTAAATGCTTTAAATGTGCATAGAATAGTCTTTTTACCTCATCATAGTATTACTTCATCGTGGTATTTACACATTAAAAATAATTGTTAATTTCAAAATAATTTGAACATTCAGAACTCTTAGTTGAATTTCAAGGCTTAAGAAAATACTATTTCAATACTATTATAGTGAAAGTTAATTACGTCAAGGTCCCGCTCTTCAGCACACGTGTGCACGTACACATGAACACACACTTATCTCCAGTCCATAGACATCATCTCACTGTTCCCAGTTTCATGCATTTTTCAATCCTCAGTGTCAGAGCTTGGCAAGGGTGTTCCGTGTGAAGTAAATGTGCCGTCCTCACTGCCCACCCTGAGCATCCACGGCCTCGAGATTGAGAGATCACTTTGCCTGACACCAAGTCATCTGGAATGCATCAAACCAGGCTTGCTTTGCTGTTCTTTAAAATTATGCATATCGCTTAGTTCTACTGTAACTCAAGAGTGTTGGAATACTAAGAGGCTAACAGTATCATTTTAATCAACTCTAAAATGAGGGCAAGAGTAGGGAGCAAACATATGGCAATATTAAATATTTTTAAAGCAATCATATGGCAATATTAAGTATTTTTAAATTTATATTTTTAATAATTCACAAGCACTAGCACCATAAAAGCATTCATAATGTGTTTATTGAGACCAGTAATCAATGCAGGATGGAATTTTCAATATAACATGAGTCCAGGGTAGATGGAATTCTAGCCTTTTGCTAGAATATAAACTTGACTCCTTCTTTTCGGTATTGGAGTAGTAAAACACAAGAGAACTTCCTACTGGAAATGAGACTATTCTCATTAAATTAAATGAGACCATTTAATGTGGGTGAAAGTGATTTAAAATTCACACACCTCCTGAAAATATGTTCTTGATTTACTTTTTAAAGAGTGAAATGGGTTTAGTAAATATTGCCAGGTATAATAAATCATAAAACATTTAACACCGATTTGTCAAGTGCAGTTTACATGAACGAGCACTTAGCATTATTTATGCCAGACTGAATGAAACTGCTAAGATGGTTAGAGAGTTTTCAGCCAGTTAGGAAACATGCCGTGAGCAAACCACTGTTCTGGGTGGTACATTGGTTATAGAAATGACACAACGCTGTATTATCCCCAAATCTAGACATGGTACTTGTTCTACAATTTTAGGCAGAGTATGAGAAACATCTGTCGAAGCCACTTCAATTTTAATTATACTAGCCAATCAAAACCATTGTTTCTTATCTGACTTCACCCATCACCACAGATGGCCACCATCCATCACAAAGGCCACTGCCCTTAACTATTGCCCTGAACCTACTCCCCCAAAACTATCATACCATTTTATACTTTGTTTCTAACATTTTTTTAGGTTTTCAGTACTAGATCTGTGTTGGATGAGTTCACAGTCCAACCCGTGATCATTCTTGGTTCCACTCTTCAAATGTTACTTCATTTTAAAGATGTAGATCTTAGTACCTGGGCATCATTCTGGTGCAGTTCAATTCGTGCCCTGGAGCTCTATCCGAATACAAGTTGACTGGGCTGATGCCATTAGCAGATCTGTTCTGACAACCTGATGGTCTAGCATAAAGTAGGACTTTGCTGGGAGAACAGGATGCTGCTGGCTGCTGCTTCTTTACTGCTTCCTTGCTTGGCTGCCTTCTGCCCACCATGAACTGTATCTACTCTGTGATGCTCCTCTCCCACGCCACACTCCTTGGAGTCAGTCAACTATGAATTGAAACTGTTACACACTGTAAACTACAATAAACCTTCCCTCCTTTAATTTGAGTGTTGGATATTTTGTTTCAACAAGGACAAAAGTCACTAAAGGTGGATCCCTTCATCACCAGAGTTATGAGTTTCAGCATCTTGATTATAGCCTAGTAAGTAAGATCCTTTCATGATCTTGTCCTGAGGACATGTTGCCTTCTGATCCCCACGTTATACTGTAGTAGGCTTGCTTGGTGCTTGTTCACAGCTCCTTGGCTCCCCTTTGGCTTCATTGTAGCTCTGGTGAATAATATTATTCCTCTTGGATCTCAGCGCCCCCTGAGAATGTGCCTGGTTTATCTATACATCCTAACCCCAGTGCCTTTCTCATTGTGACGGGAGTTTGACTGGTACGAAAACAAATACAGCCCAGGAGTAGAGAAGAGTTGATGTGCCCAGGGAAAATCGGGTTCCAATCCTTTTGATGTGTGGTGTTCTGTGCTTCCCAGACACAGAGCAGAATGCAACTTCATCTTTTCTCTCCTGATTGGTTTGACTCATGAGCTCTCTCACTCTTCCCACTACCTCGTATCATTTCATGGAATCACTGGACAAACAAACTTCCTGTACCCAAATACTTGTCTCATCTTGAGATTTAGGAGAAACGAAACTAATTCCCACATGCAGCCAGAAATCATCTCTTTTTCTTTCCCAAATGTGTTGAAGCAAGGCTGTGCTCTAGTTTATTAGGCTATAAAAATCTGTCCATGAAGAGAGTAAGTAGGATACATTTGCTCTCCCCTTGAAAGATTAATTACTGCATGAATATCCTTCCTAATAGGAATGTAGTTAAAACAGATGAAAATACAGTGTTATAAAAAAAGAGAAACATATTTTTAAAAAGGAGAGAATGCTTTGAAATTCAAACAGCTACACTGATTCATATCTCCTTCTGAAAAATTAATTTCATTTACTGATGAAAAATAAATATATCAAAAACAGGAAGTAAAGGAAGGAAAGGGGAGAAAATAGGAAAATAGGGAAAGAAATATGCCGTCTTTATACAAAGGACATGCTCAAATACGGGACATAAGGATAGTGTATTATTTCAAAACAAACTAATGAATGTGAAGAAATTGAAAAAAACACTGTATCAATTTAAAATGATGGCATGGGCCGGGGGTTTAGCTCTGCGGTATAGGTGCCTGCTTGGTTGTGAGTTCAATCTTAGGCACCAAAAACAAAAACAAATAATGGCATGTTATATTTGATATGTGAAAAATGTAATAACAGCTAATAACATGATTCTATAAGATCAACACAAATTACAATTCTAAAATGCCAGAAATGAAATATAAGACCACCAGAAAAAATGTAAAAGAAAAGAAAATCTCATTTTAGAATTAAAGACTAAACTGGAAAAAAAATTCAAGAACAAACAAACATAACAAACTGTTTCTTAAGAGAAAAGAAGATGTACATGTTGAAGAAAGGCACGTTTAGTAGAGAACAGGTACCCTTGAAAAAGCAAACAACAGCTGGGGGCAAAAATATACTATATTTAATTCAAAAAATATTGCTGACATAAAATTTATAAAAAATGAAAACAGGAGAGAGGCGGAACAAGAAATGGAAAGAAACACTGCAAACAGAGGTTTTGTAAATGAGGAGAAAAGGTCGTTGAAGTGAGGGAAGGGAAATGGGGAAAACAGTAAAATATACCATGTGGAAGAACAAATTCCTTATGAGAAATGTTACCATTACGTATATCAAAAACGTCCCAATAAAAAAAGACTTCACACTGAAACAACACTTCAGGTACCTCCGCACAATAGAGAATGCTCAGCAAGGAAATGCATTCTGCCTAAGAAAACCCCCTGTGCTATATTAGAAAATCAAGTGAGTCACCAAAGCAAAAAATTAAATTACCAATAAAATGTTTTACAACAGCACTCTCTGCCAAAAGAAAAGGGAATGTCATATTTATACTATCCAAGTGAAGAGAATGAAAGTTCAAGATTTTACATTCAGAAAAAATTACTTGCATGCAAAAATGGACAACAGTCATTATCCCAGTATGCAAAAACTCACAAAACATTGTTCCGCAAATACTTCTTTATAAATTTAATTTTAAAAATTAGCTTCAGAAATCAGAATGAGTAAGGAGATATCACAGACTGATGGTACATGTTAAATCTAGTTGCTTGTAATGTGAGTAAGTGAGTTTAAAAGGGGACAGTCCTACGTTTAACAGCTGTATCAGATATCATATGTAGTGCAACCTTTAAAAAATTACAGATAATTAGAGGAACATATGCAAGAATATTTTAATAATTATACTGGCACAGTATTGCAGTTATTCTGTGACTCTTATGTGTGTAATGTTAGCCAAAGTAAATGGGTAGTTATGAAATATGCTAATTCTATTATTCTCTATGTCCTTGAGATCTAATTTCTTACCTGGGAGAAAGGAGACGAGTCGCTATAATACTGAGAAGTCTTATGGGAGAAATTAATACCAACTGTGAATTGGAATGATCCTGTGAATTTTTGAGATGCCCATACACTTCCGTCCACTGAAGAGTAAGCAGCTCATGTGCCTGAACAACCATCTCTCTTGGTCTTGCCAAAGGAACAGAACCCAGGTCTGATCTAACTGCTAATTCAAAAAGAATATAAGAGGTAGAAGGCAAAGATGAATTGCAAAACTAGGTTGTAGGAAGCTCGGTAACTCACATACTCCAGGCTCTTTAACAGGTAAGCTGTAAGGAGAAAGGAATAAAAGTCAGACCTATAGACGAGATGAATGTGAAGCGCGCCATTTTAAAGGATAAAGCTCTGCATATGATAAACTGTGAAGATATTGAAGGAGAAGGAAAATCCAAACAAACTCTAAAAACTTCTTAGAAAATAGTGACAATGAAAATATGCATCAGAACAGCTAAAACAGTTCACTGAAAAATGGGTAGACCACACTGCTAATAATAAGAAGCATTTTCTAAAATAGATTATGTATCCAATTTAAGAAGTTAATGAAATTGGGAAAATTACCAAAGTTAAATATAAGCTAACTAATATGAAAACATAAATTTAAAAAGAATACATAATTCCGTCATTGAAAGCTGAATTTTTCAGAATGCCAATAACATTGATGAACCATTTAATAAACTGATTCAAAAATTTCATAAATACAGAATAAGATGTGATAAGAGAAAAATAACAAGTACAGAAAAATCAAAAAGTGTCATATCCAATGGTATTCTCAACTAAATTAATATGTCGAGAAATTTTGAAATGGATCATTTTCTGGAAATAAAATTAATCAAGCTAACTGGCTATAGAAAGGACAAATAAAGAAATTTACTAAATAAATTAAATAACTAATTAGTACAGAAAAAATGGAGGAAACCAATGAAGAGCTACTTTCCTTCAAAACCACATTCCTAGATAGTTGTACCGAAAACTTCTACCTGTCCCATAACAATGATAATAATAATACCAATAATCATAGTAATAATTCCTCAGTTAACCTATTCCAAATTACAAAGAAAGCTCTCATATTTCTATGCAGCAAGAACAACACAGATACAATTCAATGGATTATACAAAAAAACCTATAATAACCTCATAACTATTAATGCAAATACCAAAAATATGCTCATGAACAGAATCCAACTCATTAAAAATAATACACTATCTAATAATGTATTTCAGCAATGTAAAAATGACAATATTATTTTTATTTTAAAGAGAATAAAACCAAGCAAAATAAAACAGAATAAAGCCTATTAAAGCAAACCAGTGTGACACAGAACTTGAAAACAATAGAAAATCAACAATGGTTACCAAGATCAACTAGCCAGCTTTCATGGTAAGTTGCACAAACCACGCACTCTCCAGAGAGAGAAAAGTCAGCGTCTTCCAAGAATTGGCCATGCTGGGACTTGAGGACCAACCAAGAAATCAATATCAGCCAGCCTTCCAGGTAAGCAGTGCGAACTATGTGGGTTCCAGGAAGAGAAAAGTCAGATAGTGCCTCCCGTGTGCCTACCAGCACCGCAGCCTGAGAATCAGACACTCTCTGTGTCATCCTCCCCACCAGGCAACACCCTGGTTTGAAGAACAAGCTGAGTTGATAGACTAAGATACATAAAGCTACTAAATGCTTATGTTGTTTGGTTGATTATGCAGGGTGGGGCCAGAGGTCTGAGCATCTCTCTGGAGGATGACAGTATGCAATATAGCAGATATGGGGGATTCCTTCTGTCTTGTCTCTTAAGTCCAATATTGTTTTCACTGTTTTGCTTTGTTCTGATTGTTTTTCTTTATTCAATATTCTATTCTGATTGGTTTTATTGTGTCATGTTTTTGGTTTGATTTAGCTGTACCTGATGAAATAGACAACTATTGTGAAGATAACAAGATATACTATGCTATCTGTTATGTTTTAAGAACTGGTGGTCAGCTTAATGCCAGCTGAGTTACATCAGCGTGGTGCTGAGCATTGATGTTGCGCCTGAGGAAAGTTGCCAGCATAAGTAGAGATGTAGAAAAGAAAAAGCTATTGTGCTGAGGTGTGTTGAGGCATTGTGGATTCTCCTACATGTTGCGGTTTGAGCCTTTAGGTTCTCCTGGAAAAACTCTGCTCCTCACATTGAGCATTGTCTCCTGGCTCCTGAGGGGAAGACATGCGCTGCTTTGTCTCCAAGATGAACTCGTCTTGCTGGCTTCCTGGCAGGTACTCTACTGTGATAAAAGTTCGGGGCCTCCATGTTGCTGAGGATGGCTGTGGTGCTTTTCAGGACAGCCCTGGTCTTTGTTGTGAGCGTGACTTCTTGGCTCTAGTGTAAAACCCTCAACCTACTGGCACAGCTCCTTCACCCTGCTGGCATAGACTTTCTGGCTTCGACCTGACCTTTGGGCCTTCCCTCCACAAAAGAGACTGGTGTGAGTTCTTGGGGGCTCTGGACCTCTGGTTGGACTCGTGGGAAGCATTGTCATGAGCTCTGGGTTTTCATCTAGACTCACGTGGGACATTGCTGTGGATTTAGGCCCTTGACTAAATATTCTATGTGTTTGGTGTTACAGATAGATTTCCTACAGTTTCTTGTGTTAAGCTCTAGGTGACTCTCATAAAACAATATTATAAACTCCATGTCCTGATTCTAATTGTTCTCTGCACAACCCCTGACTGCAACAGTATCTATTGTTGTTTTCCTCATATTTGAAGTTCTTTACCAATTTTGCTGCATTGTCTTGATTGGCTTTGCTTGTCTCATTTTGTTGGATTTTACTATCTTTAAAACTTAAAAAAATGATTGCCAATAATGCTTCCTGCTGTCCTCAAAATAGCTGCAGATACCTTTAGACATAGCAAAAATCAAACAAAACAGAATGGAATACAACCAATAAAAACAAAACAAAAATACAATGAAGGACTTCAAAATAGGATATGAGTAAATCCAAAATGACTATATATCTTGTTATCTTTGAAATAGCTGCCCATGCTAAGACGGTTTAATATTAAATGATAAAAATATTACAATTCACTACATTTTTGGACATAAGGAAAATAATCATACTTATCTTTATAGATCTTGAAATAACATTTAGTAAAATTCATTGTCTACCCTAAAAATAAGCAAAGAAAATTGTTAAATAGGAGAGGTGAGGATACAAAATACAAAATAGTGAAAAGCACTAGAAAAGTACTTGGACTCTCTCTTTAAATAAGAACTTTAAATATTCCTATGAGTCATAAAGGCGTCTTTGACACATGGCAAGTCATACTATATTCTTGAATAGGAAGACTCAAACTCATTAAAATGCCATTTTCTGATAAATTAATCTATAAATACAACATAGTCCCACTAAGAATAGTAACAAATTGTTTTCTAGAATCAGACAAACTGATTTTAAAGTTCATGCCTAAAAATAGAAAAACTCTGGTAACTAGAAATTAGTTACTATATATTAGGGGAAAACATTACAGTAGATTTTATAAAGTATGACTATAGGCTCAAGAATTAAAATAATGTTATACTGGCACTTGAATAGATAGGTTACTGTACACAATAAAAGGTAAAGAAATAATTATAAAGGAGATTTTAGTTTTATTCAGATGATAGTTCAAAGATCTAAGGAAAAACTAGTATTGAATAAATGGAAGGTAACTAAGATACACGTTGGAAAAACAAAGAACAAGCTACTCAGAAACCACTAGAAGATAAATGTTTAAATATATAAACACTGGAACTATAAACATTCTATAAAAGAGAAAATTCTCTTATAGACTTTGTGTGGGAAAGACTTTACTAGTTCTTAAAGAAAAAGTTGGTAGACCTTTAAAAAACTAAAGCAAAACTACTATAATCAAAATTCTTTTTAATTAAACATGTAAAAAGTCCTATTAATCTGTTGAAAATTGCAGGTTAATTTCTTTAGCATATAAAGAACTCCTACAAATCAAGAAGAAAAAAAATCAATGTGCCTATCTTTTAAAATGGCAAAAGTACAGTTCATAAAAACACCTAATTAACTTGTTCTCGAAAAGTATAAAGAAGTATTTAACCTACTCATAGAGACCTAAAATTTAAAAATGTATCAAAACCAATATCTTATATATCGGGCTGTCAAATATCAGAAGGTCTGATTAAACATTCTGTTGGCATAGATGTGAGAAAACACAGCCAGTGAAACGTTGCTGGTGAATGTGTAATTAGTTCAACTTTTGTCAAGGTTAATTTGCCAACATGTTAGAAAGCTAGATATCTGTATACTTTCTGACCTTATAATTTCACCTCTCAGAAATGATTATCAAGAATGAACTCATAAACACAGTTCATGAGTAGGTATAGAGGTGAATGATAATGAAGTTTGACAACCTGAGTATCCATTAATAGGAAACACATTAATGTATATATAACCAAATATTCATTTAAAAAGAGTTAAACAAGTAGATATTTACATGAAAATATTCCAAGGTAAATTATTAAGTGAAAAAAAGACAAAGACATCTGATCTTTCTGGGAAACAAGAGCACAATAGTAACCATAGCCATTTTACCATTTTCATGGCAGTAGGTGGAGAGATGAGATTACATATATATTATACACATTTTAAAATGTATATATAAAAGCATATATGTGTATATGAATATACGTTTTTCCTTGAGTGAGTAAAATCTCACTGGTAGAATATCTCCAGAGAATTATTTGAGAAACTAGAAGTATTTTGACTGGTGGAGAGGGAGATTTTAAGGCTAGAGATAATGATAAGAAGTGGAATTGTATTCTACACACTTGCTGAAATTCAAATTATGCAAATGCACTAGCTTAAATGTGTATTTAAATGTATATAATAAGCATATTAAAATATAAGTAAAAATAATAGTATCTCCAATAGATGTGATTAGTGGTGATTTTTCTATATTTTCTAGATTTTCTTTATATTCAAATCACAGAGTATAAATGCCATATTTAAGTGATTAGAGGGATCCTGGCATACTTGGCATCTTGGCATAAAGCTCAAGATGAGACCCGAGTCTTGTCTCAGATTCAATACTTTGCAGGTGTGAGCCATTCACAGAATCTTTTAACTTGCCTGAGTTTCATTTTTCTCCTACATTAAATGGAGACCATACTGCTTGCCATGGTTTTCCTGAATTTGAGAAAAGAATCAAAGGAAAATATTACACAAAAGTGCTTCTAAATCGTAGCACATCAGAAGTGTGCAAATTAATGATGTCAGAAGTATTGGCGAAATACTAGATTTCTGTCTTCTGGTTAATATACAAATTGCCTAGTAATTTCAACCAAACCTGTCAGGGTTTCAAAAGCCATGAGGCAATAAAGTCCTATCTCCCATTCTTATTTCCACTTGGAAAATGGAAAGAAAAATGGAAACTAGTTAAGAGAATTCTTCTGGAACATTCCAAGAGGAAAAGAATTCTCACACTAAGAGGGCTCAAAGCCTTTGCTCTCCTACAGGCCACGCCCAACTCTCCTCATTTCTTTCTACCAGGATCCCCTTGTTTCTGCTGCACAAACTGGTTTCATTCTAAAACCCAGCATTTTTGGCACCTCCACTTTGCTCTCCATGCTCAGAAAAATCTGAACGGACTCAATGCCCCACCTAGCGCTTCCCTGAGAAATTTCCCTCCCCGCTGCACTCCCATCACACACATATGTGCATGCACGTGTGCGCACACTTCTCTAGATGCTTTTTAAATTATGCATAGAGTTACCAGAGAAGATGCTGAAACTATGAAATAATAATAGCTATGTCAGCAGAAATATGGTGCTGGAGCCCAGCACTGCTTATAAAACAATATATCGTTTCAACAAAAACAAGGCCAAAAGATCAAAAATAGTTCTGCATTGGTGTCCAAAAAGCTCCATTTTTTAAGAAATAGTTTCAAAATATTTTTTCTCTTCACATCTGAGGCAACAAACCAGACAGAGTAAGCAGCTGGATTCCCCTCACCTTGGCCAGCTCGCTAGCTGGCTCGCTCCCCTTCTCTCTTTCTGTTTTGGGGCCTCGAGATCTTTCAAAATATTTAAAGTGGAAAACCTAGCCATCATAAGTGCTCAGGAAATTCATTCAGTGAAGGTCACGGGCCAGTGCACTCCTATCTGCTTCAGAACTCAGCTGGGTGTCTCCAAATATCTCCAGGGGCGTTGCAAAATGCTAAAAATAAATGGGAAAAAACACATTTAATTGGTTCAAGTTTTTCCTTTAATTTCTTTATACCATACAGAGCCCTTTAGGGGAAGTCAGGGTGGGTTAAAAGAAAAGAAATCCATCACCACAATATCACAAAAGTTTGGAGGTGGTTGCTTCAGGCCGCCAGGAGATAGTCCAGGGGTTAGATATGATGATTACAGGGTGGCCCGTGAGTTATATACCACCTGGGTTCAAATCGCAGCACAAGTCACATGACGTTCACTGACCTCTCTTTCCATTCCTACACCATAGAGTTAGTTTGAAATTTTAATCTAATTATCCCTGGAAAGTACTGAGCTCAATGCTTAAGGTATAACAAACATGACTGTGACTGATACTTTCACTAAAGTTAGTAGAACTTCACCCAACAATAATTACTTATTAAACTAAACAAAACTATTAACTGGTACTTGAACCCGTTGGAAGAATTTATATTCTTCTTTACACGCACACCCTCGGCATCATACTGTCTTAGAGACCTTTGGTCCCTATGGGGATTCTCCCTCTCCAGTGACCCAGGACTATGTAGCTCCCTGTCTTAAATACAGCGGCTCTGCTTCTGAGCCTGGGCTGTCAATATGTGCTTCAAAAATATGCAAGGAAGCAGGCCAGAACTACGTCTTCCATCTTTCAGTGAAGGATGCTGATGGGTTGGTATGCTGCATTCGATTTTTATTAGACTGGCTCTCCTCTTCCTGCATTCCGCCCCACGTCTGAGCTTCCGCAGACGGGTGGGCAAAGCAGGAGTCGCACGGAACACACTGCTTTGTTTTGGTGTCTTAACACTTCAGACAGATGAAAAGAATAGTCTTCAGACTGGCGCATCTCTGTGGACTGTGTCTTCAGCAGAGCATACTTCATTTTTTCCATGAGGACGACCAAATGACCTGTTGGTAAATGTTTTAGGGAACAGATCATAGCAGGAAGAAAACTGAAGGCATATTTGATTTTATGGAGATACCTAATTTTCCATCACTGAGAGATGTTCTTCTTTATCTCCATGTATGTTATTCATCAAGGCATCTTGACACTATTTACTGGAAAATAATGGCACTGTTTACCAGAAAACTAGCTTAATCTGCTACTCATTGTTTTCATCAGTTAAATAAAACTGACCTTTCATCTTTAGCATTGTGCTTCCAACACTGTCCTGCCAAAATCACTAATGATCTGTATTCCTCAGACAGCTGCAAGACATTCTCCATGAGCTGAGGAATGGTGGGATCATCACCCCATCGGAGATAGGAGGGCCCGGCCTTGTAGGCCACAGCAACAGGTCACCACTCCAGCCAAGCCACCAGAGTGCTGAGGAGGGAGTCAATGAAGGTAAAGAGCTGGCAAAGAGAACTCCCAAGCCCGGTGGGGGACCCCTAAAGCAAGACCTTGAGTTCTTAGAACTGAATCAACAGATCTCAGACTCAAGGGTAGAATTAACATCCACTGAAATAATCAAGTTGTGTGGTTTCACACACAGAACTTTTACAGATAATATCTTCAGTCATCCTTAGTAGCTGAATGCCTCCCATCATCCCCAGGAAGAATGCTATCAATATACCACTTTGTTTTTTCTGACTGCTCACATTAACAAAGGTGCGTATGTGAATTTATATTCAGTTCAGTTTCATACTGTTTAAAAACCAAGGTTTACCCATTCACAGGTTATAAGAATGGTCATTCTCAAACTAGATCTAACACCTAAAGCATATATCTTCCCTCAGTAACACTAGCATGATATTCTTTTAAGAAGCCACTTCTGTCCCACCCCATCTGTGTATTTTAATTGTAATCCAACATATGTAGTATAAAAATGTTCAGTGCAATAAAAATTTGAGGGTAACCTAAATATTGGATATGTAATAGAGGAATAGTTAAAGAAAATGTAGAACATCCAGATAGCATAATGTCCTCCAATAAAATCTAATCTGATGTCATAAATGACAGTAATCTCTTTGTTTTTAAAATGATGATTAATAATCCATCGTATATATGTACCACATTTTCTTTATTCACATGTCCACTGATGTCCATGATGATTCCAGGCATCAATTCGTTGCTTTTGCCTGCATCTCACTGATAACTAATGATATTGAGCACATGTTTACATACCTGTTGAGTGTTTTTAATGTCTTTTTTAGGAAAATGTTTATTCAGGCCCCCTTGCCATTTTAATTGCATATTTCATTTTTTCCTTTCCATTATATTTACTGCTGAGCTGCATCCCTATGTATTTTGGATGTTAACCCTTCATCAGATATATGTTTACAAGCCCTTTCTCCTAATTCTTCAGCTGCTTTTGGGGTTACTTTTGCTTTTTTTTAGTTGTTCCCTTTTCTCTTCTGGAGTTTTTTAGCATAATCAGAAGCTTTTTGGTTTACCTTAGCTTTAGTTGCCTGAAATTTTGATGTTGTACATAAAATATCATTGCAAGGGAAAATCAAGGAGCCTTATCCCATTTCTTTTAGGAATTTTATGGTTTGGAATCTTATGTAATCTTATGGAATCTTATGTAATCCATGTCAAGTTGATTTTTCTGAATGTTTAAGAAAAATATCCTATTGCACTTTTTCCCATGTGGATATCCAGTTTTCCCAACACCACTGGGTGAAGAAATTAACCCTTCCCCACTGTGTTTCTTGGTAGCCTTGTTGAAAATAATTGACTGTAAATACTTGACTTTCTTTCCCCCAGGTTTTAAATTCTACTTCATTAGTCCATATTTCTCTATCTCTTTTTATGCCTGGGTCATACTGCTCTGATTACTATAATTTTGTAATACAGTTTAAAATCTGAAAGTGTAATCCCTCCAAATTTGCTTTGCTTTCTCAAGATTGTTTTGGCTTTTGGGATATTTGAAGTACTATGTAACTAAGTTTTGGGATTGTTTGTCCTGCGTCTTCCTCATTACTATTGAGATTTGGATAGATTGCATTGAATCTGTGTGTCTGCTAAAGAGAATAGACACTTTAATTATATTAATTCTTGTAAACCACATGGAATATCTTTCCATATTAACTCTTCTAATCCACAAACATGGGATACTTTTGCACTTATTTGTATCTTCTTCAATTTTTTTCATCAATGAACCATAGCTTTCATTGTAGTACTTTACTTTCTTGGTTAAATTTGTTCCTAAGGATTTCATTATTTTTTAAATTGTTATAATGGAATTGTTTACTTGATTTCTTTTTCAAGTAACTTGCTACTGATGAAGTACAATGTGTCTTTTGTATGTTGATTTTTGTCTCCTGGTACTTTATTTTATTTACTTATTTATTTATGTTAGAGCACAATATATTTACTGAAAGAAAGAAAGCTTCTGTCCAAGAGACAGAAAGGATCCCAAGTGACTTTTCTAGGGATTTTACAGAGCAAAGCCACAGTGTGAGGCAGGTCTAATGTGGGGAGAATGGAAAATTACAAGGTGGGCATGAGGTGGGACAGAACTACGGCCAATCAATAAGATTGAGTGTAATTTCTCAGGTAAAATTGATTAAATCAGGATCAAATTGGGAATCAAGTCATGTAGCAAATGGGCATGAATACGGAACAGGGCCTTTTCCTGTAGGGGGTTGGGTTAGTGGCTCCTCAAGGTGATTGATAGTTATTTATAGTATCAATCCCTGTTATTTATCCATAGGAAGTATGTGGGTATACTTGTTTTTATCTTTTTCTGTTTGTTTGTTTGCTTGCTTGCTTGATCTTTTGTCTTGAGGCCTGGCCCACAGCTGGAGGTGTCTGTCTCCCCCACTGTTGCAAGGTATCTGGTCTTCTGCATTGGTTCCTTTGAGAGCCCGGCCCTATCTGACTGCCTATAATGTTCTGTCTAACTTAGCTGCCTGTAGTATTCCCCTCTCTGAAGAAGTACCATGGACTGCCACGAGAGAGTAATGCGCAATGACCAAAGTGGCTTCCTTAGGCTGAAGGGGGTCATAGTGAGATACTCTACAGAGGGTCTATCTAAAGGCCCTCAATAGACACCAGGCATTTTTATCTAGGGTAGGTGTACAACCTTAAGTCTGGAGGTGTCTCCTGCTACTTTAAAATGTTACATCATCTCTCTTATATATGGAATCCAAAAAGTTTTATGCATAGAAAGAGAGCAGGGCCAAACCTGATGGCACATACCCATAATCCCCCCACTCAGGAGGCTATGGCAGGAGGAGCTTTGTGAGTTCCAGGCCAGTCTGAACTGCATAGGGAAACTCTGCAGAAAGAGAAAGAAGGAAGAAAGGAATAAAGGAAGGAAGGAAGAAAGGAAGGAAGGAAGGAAGGAAGGAAGGAAGGGAGGGAAAGAGTTTTCAGCATGGTTAGAAGACAGAATATAAAGTAAAGTGGCCTTTATTTTAAGGCTGCAGAGAGGAGCTCTATGACCGCCGGGGCCTGGCTTTCTCTGTTGGACACGTGGGCCTACATATAGCTTTGGTCTGGGGTGGTGCCTAAGGGGCATTACTGATGCACAAGTAGCCCATTGGAATTCATTTTGAACCAAGGTAAATTGCCTGGGGACGGGGAAGATGACCTCAAGATAGAGCCCCTTGGTTCCGCCTCCCAGCCTCCCACCCTGCAGTGTCCCATCCAGGGCAAAATCCTTTCAGGAAGGAAGGAAGAAAGAAAGAGAGAGAAAGAAAGAAAAGAAAGAAAGACAGACAGACTAGGAAAGACGTGTTACCAGGAATGAGGCAGGGGAAGAAATGGGGGCAGTGTATTAAAAGTGTATAAACTTGCAGTTGTGTAGGATGAATAAATGTAGAGATCCAATGCACAGCCGGAAAATTAGTTATAATGCTGTATTACATATTGAAATTTTAAAAAGAAAGCTGTTATGTGCTCATGACACACACATGTACACCATAAACACATTAAAGGTTAAGTGTGCAAGAGCATAGATTTGATAATTTGCATATCTTTACTAATTATTTCACTATGCAAAGTATATCATAACATTTTGGCACTTTAGTAAGTAGATACGTAAAATAAGGAAAAAAGCTTAGCAATAGCCTTTCTTACTTTTTCTAAAATAATTTCAATTACTGCATATACTATAACTTTAGTGATTTTTTAAAACTTCTATTTTTCAAAGAATACGTGATATCATTTAGTGTTATTGTTTAATTTCTGCAAAAATAATCAACAAAATATTTCCTGCTGTTTATGGCCAAATTAAGATGATTTCAGCATATTCATATTCATGAATGATCATCAGAACGATAGATATCACATCAAAACTGAATAAAATATATTTAGTAGTCATACAACAATATTTTATATTAAAAGTTTGTTCTACAGAGCTGGGCATGGTGGCTCATGCCTATAATCCCAGCTCTCAGTAGGCTGAGACAGGAGGATCGTTGCAAGTTCAAGAGCAGCCTAAGCTACAAAGTGAGTTCAAGACCAACCTGAACTGCACAGTGAGACTTTGTCTCAAAAACAAAAACAAAAACAGTTCTTCAGCATTTCAATTTGTATGTTTTCTAAATTATATTTTGATGTGGATATTTAGCATTTTTGTTTTCTTTTGTTTTGCTTTATTTTGTTTTTGAGACAGGGTCTCACCATGTTGTTGAGGCTGGCCTTGAACTCACTATACAGCCAGGTTGTCCTCAAACTCATGGCAATCCTACTGCCTCAGCCTCCTGAATGCAAGGATAAAAGGCATAGGCTAACATTTTTTATGTGTATTTTAATTTCTTTGTATTTACTAGATACACTTGATAATTGTTGCCAAGTATTACACTGATCTCATTCTTTAATGGTAAACTGCAGAATAGCATGTGCACCTGGCTCTAATTTACATAAATGTGTTAAATGCATAGAAATATGCATGCAAGTGCACAAAAATTATCTCAGGATACACACTGTGTTCATCAGCTTCTAATCACCGAGACAAAATATCTAAGAAAGTCAACTTAAAAGCGGAAGATTTATTTTAGCTCACAGATGCAGAAGACTTACTCCATGGTCACTTTAGTGATCATGACAGAAGTGTGCGGCAGAGCAAAGCTGATGATTTCATGGCAGCCAGGAAGAGGACAGACAGACACACAGAAAGACAGAAGCACATAGAATGAGAGAGGCAAAAGACAGAGAGAGAAGCAAAGACAGTATAAAATATTTCTCAAAGACACATCACCAGAGGAGACCTACATCCTCCAACTAGGCCCTGCCCATAGACCATTAAATTATGAATCTATAATCAGACTAATCCATTCACATATGATGTCAAAGCTAAAGTCTTCTGCCTCTGGGCACCAGTGAGATTTTGAGAAACATTTAAGATCCAAATCATAACATGGGTTAAACAGATAATGATGATTACTTCCGAGGAGAGGTGTATGACCAGAGGAAAAAGAGGAGAAAAATAACATTAATTTAAATTATATTATTCTTTATTATTTGAATTTTGACAGTAAATATTTCACAATGATATAAATATATATGATTTAAATTAATTTTATTAAAAAACATATCATAAAAAATAAAACCTTTGTACAGAACTGAATCATGGCTTCAAACCTTAGAAAGCACTTCATTACTAGAAGTAGTGTGTCTTAATGAATTTATAGACCTGGAAATTCTGTTCTTTTCAGATATTGATAATTTAAACATTCAAATTTTTAGTATGTCTTCATTGGTGAGACACTATATTATTGCTTTCCAATAACTCAAATAAAGTTCATATTCTCCTTATGTCATCCTGTCCAATCCCCCCCATGTCAAAACAACCTTTGTGTAAGATGTTTCCTTAAAGATTTCCAAATACATATATGACAATTAGAAACATGTGTAGCTTTGTTATATCTTTAGATTACACAAGTGGGTGTCAAACACCTACTCCCTGGGCCCTAAAACATAGATTAGCGTCTCCAAGTGATCTTCTAAAGTCTCTCACATCAAAGAAATCATGTCTTCAGTGTTGAACTGCAAAGCTTTCATTCTTCCGTGTCTTTGAGCTGGGTAACTCTCAGCAGTGATAGAACTCATAACCTCAGCCAGAGCTAAAAATAAATTGTATTTATTTTTATATTCAGTTTGCCGAATTTCATTACCTAATTACTTTTCATAAGCCATATAGCCATTTTACATAGATACCTTATTAGTTTTAAGTCTTTCCAGTTATTGCTCCTGGATTTTTAAAAATAAAAATCATTTTTGCTGTAAATGTTAACTTTGCTTTCTGAATACTGTTTTTTCATCTTAGCCCAAGTCTAGAATCTCCAGTACAAAGTCTAACACCTCAGTCTTCTTACAAACACTTCTAATGCTTTACCTTCACTATGATATTTGCTTTAGATTTCTTCTAGTCTTTAAAAACACTTTAAAACTCTTATTAGAAAATGGAAAGATATCCCTGCTCTTGAATAAGAGGAACCAACATAGTGAAAATGACCATATTCTGAAAACTGTTATACAGATTTAATGCAATCTGGATTAAAATACTATTAGCATACCTCACAGATCTAAAGGACACATGCCTAAAATTCATTTGGAAGCAGAAGAGACCTTAATAGCAAAGACATTCCTGGCAAGGCAGGGAGCGTCACCCAGGCTTGAAATTATACCACAGAACTACTGTGATAAAATCAGCATGGTACTGGCAAAAAAAACAGACCTAAGGATCAGTGAACAGATTATAAGATGCAAACATGACTACAAAGACACTCAGCCACCTCTTTGAAAAAGGTGCTAAACATGTTCACTGGAAAAGACAGCCTCTTTGATAAATGGTGCTGGAAAAACTGGCTTTCAAATACCGAAGGCTAAAACTAGGCCCATGTCTATCACCATACATTAAAGTCAAAATGGATCAAAGATCTAAATATTAAAACAGAAACACAAATCTACTGGAAGACAAGATAGGTGGAAATCTTGAAGACATGGAGGAAGGTAAAGAGTTCATAAACAAAACCCCAACTGCACAGGAAATACTTCAAAGAATCAACAACTAGGATTTCATCTTGTTAAAAAGTTTTCGCACATCAAAAGAAATCATCAACAAAGAGAAAAGAGAAGCCACAGAACAGGAAAAAATATCAGCCAACTGTCAGTCAGAGAAAGGATTTATATCCAGAATATATGGAAAATTGAAAAACATCAGGTGCCCAAATTCAAAGAGCCCATTCAAAAACAGGCATCTGAGATGAACACACACTTCTCAGACTAAGAAATACAAATGGCAAATAAATATGAGTAGATGTTCAATATTACCAATCATTTGAGAAATGCGAATTAAAACAGCACTCAGATTCCATTTAACTCCAGAAAAAATGACTGTCATCAAGAAATCAACCAATAACAAATGTTGGTGGGGCTGCGGGAAAAAAGGAATCCTCCTCCACTGTAGGTGGGAGTGTAGCCTGGTACAACCACTATGAAAACCAGTACAGAGATTCCTCAGAAAACTAGAACTTGGGGGTCCCTTTCAATCCAGCTATTCCCCAGGTGAGTACTTCATCTTGTGAGCCATTTCTTACCATTTTTAGTACTAGCTTCTTGACCAACTTTGTTCTGTATTACTTGTACCCTTACACCGCTTTGTTTTGTTTTGTTTTTTCTCTTTTTCCTTTTAAACAAAATTTTTTTAAAAAATTTTCTGTTATTTTTATTTATTAATTTTTCTCCTGGTTTTTAAATCACTTTCTTATAATCTACATCTTTTTTAAATTATTCATTTCATACAACCTCAAAAATATATTGTATAAATTGTACAAGTTAACATTCAATCTCTTTTCTTAGTTTTTATGAACTCTTACCCTTTTCCTATTTGTGTTTCAGTCATATTTTTAATCTCATGTGCAAAAGGTTGTCATAAATAATTTTTTAATATTACCATAATTCATTAGTGAGTCTATCTTTCAAAATGCTGCTCTACTTTTTCAATTCTATTTTGTTGCTATTTTTAAATTTTTATTTACTTGAAGATTGTTTAACCTATTTTCAGTCATTATTACTTTATAATATTTGACTTTATGGTTATAAATTTTCCTCTGACTAGAATTTCACCTGAATCCTATGAGCTTTATTATATTGTGTGTTCTATTATTTAAAAGTTTAGCATTTATAATTGTATTAATCTAGCTCTCAAAATATATATGAAATAGATTTTAAATTTAAAAGTGTACAGTTCTCATCTAGTCTTCTATTGTTTAGAGTCTGTGGTTTTCTATAGTTTTAATGTACATTTTTTAACTATCCATTTTACATAAATTTTGATTTTATTAAAATGAGTGTACCTGGTACAATTTCTGATTTTAGAATGATTTAAGATTTCTTTTATGACTTAATATGTCATCCATGCATTTGTGTGTGAATTTTCCATATATATTTATGGGGGGTTACTTATTTTCTTTATTAAAAATAATGATAAATAATAAAAATATATAGAATCAAGATTATGCACTGGGCTACTCAAATTCCATACTTCATTTTGGCAAAAACTGCATTTGGCAAAAAAAGAGAGATGTATTAACACCTTTCAAAATAGTATGGACTTATCAGCTGCTGTTTGTACACTTTTAATGGATGTCACTGTATGTTTATCACACCAATGTATTTAGACACAGGATTTGTGGCTTTTGTGCTTCTGGCGTGTGTATGTGTGTGTTTCTGGGAATCAAATAAGGACCTCACACATACTAGGCAAATGATCTAATACTGATCTATACTCCCAGTTCCGTAGATTACTTTTTCATCTTGTTCTTTTAGTATCCATATCTTTACTTGATTCTTGGCTTATTATTTTTTTTTTCATGCACTTTGCTTTCCTTTGGGATTCTTCAATTTGTTGGACTCTTTCACTATTAATATTCTTGGAAGAATTTTGTGGGTAAAAAGCCTCTTGAATTATCAAATATTCCAAATCTTTATTTTCTCTCATACTTAAATAATTATTTGATCAGATTTTTTATTTCAGATTTTTTCCTTAGAACTCTGAAGATCACGTTCTATCCTTTTCTCAAAATCAATGTGGTTGACAAATACAAAATCACTTTGCTACTTTTTTCAATATACAAATTTACTTTTCTCTGGCATTTTTTAAGATTTTTTTTTTTTTTTAGATTTGATGTCCCCAAATTAGACTATCGTCTACTCTGTAAACTGTGAATCTCTTTTTATTCATATTGTTTAGCAACTGGTAGAGAATTATAAAATGTTATTTCTTCCTGTAATAGATTCTCCTGTTATTTCTTTCACCTATATATCATTGTCTTTGTTTTAAATATAGAAGTAGTATATGAATATATTCTAACTATTAAAAATTTAGACAATTTGAAAGCAAGAGAAAAAATTTCAGTACTTACCATTCCTTTCCCAATCTCATCCCTTTCTCTAAGGTAAATATTTGTTATCAATTAAATCTGTATCCTCCAGAGCACTATTTTCATTTAATTCATCAAATTAACATGTTTATGGCTCATAAAATCCAATTCTGCCACCATAATTTCTTGCCCTATCTCTCCATCCCAATTCCTGTTCCTCAGAGACAATTGCTTTCAACATTTTAGGATTTTCCAGTATATGCAACCATATACTTTTAAATACTGTATTGACATTTACTTTCCCTGACTTTTAAAATTAAGCCATCCAAATTATAAAATGAAATATGAGGCATTAATTAACCTAACACTACCCCACATCCTGGCATGCACTTTTCTTCCCCTACCTCCCAATAGAATTAGATCACAAATTTTAGTTACATCAATATTCAGTGTTTACATGATTATGATTATGCTCAAATTTTTTCTTGGTCAGGCTATTGAAACAGGCTATGATCCCTTCCATTTAAGCACTAATTCCTTCTGTGGGGTGATGTATCTCCTGTCTGACCACCCAAGGAATCTCTTTGAATGTATAAAGTTCACTCACCTGGAGTCATTCCTGCTCAAGGCTATAAAACCCAAGCTTTCCTCTACTTTTTTTTGCAAATAGATAAGGATGACTTTCCAGAGATAGTCACTGCTTTCTGGAAATCAGTGCTTGTGAGCAAATGTGGGGAATTTTTGCATAGAATCAATTTTTTTGTACGTGTTTTATCTGAGATTTATACTAGAAAGAGATATGTTTAAAACTAAATTCATCACCAACGGAGCATTAATGTCTGTCTAAATTTAATAAACAACCTCAAACATGTGATAAAAAACGTATGTTTAGCTTTAATCAACAAGCCTCCTCCTCATAAAGCTGGAAATATTCTCTAGCAATGTCAGCTGAGTCAGTCTTCATCATGATATGACTCTCTCCTTCTATTAGATATGTTGCAGGTAACACAGATTTTCTTCTCATGGATTTAGTGTCCAGGATCGCAACACACAGTTTTGCTTCTATCATAGAACCCTTTTTAAAATCCTCTTTAGGGGACAAACATGGCTGAATAGAGGAGAAGCCACATTGGAGCTACTCAGAGAAAATCAACTAAAAACATGGGTACTGGAAGAAAGAGAGAGCCATACATCCTGATGCCAAGGTCAACCTGAAATAAGAGGCTTGCAGGTCAAACAAAACATAGACATAGGGCTTTATACGACAGCAAACTAGCCCACAGCATTGCAAGATGCACTGCCCTGGGCATGGCGGGCAAGAATCCCACACTGGGAAATCTCCAAGAAACTGATGAGCTACAAAAGTGTGGCTAACTCCTGCCACACAGGATAGATTTCAGATGTAAGGTCCCTTGCTTCTTTCCTTCACACAGAGGACGATGTAGAGAAAACAACAAATTTCACGAGCACAAAAAGAAGTAAGGGACCAGAAAACTTCCCTCTGCGACAGGTTGCCAGGTGTTTTGTTATGTTTTGTTTTTTTCCTATTGTGTGCACTAGTGGATAAATGGAACCCCAGTGACAACAAGGTTAAGGGCCACAGAGGAGGCAGTGCACCACCCTTCCTGCCCTGAGACCACTGGGTTGAGAGAGGGACATAACCGCACAGGATTTACACAGCCTTGAGAGGTCAGTACTCACCTGCAGGAGAGGAAATTGAAGGGAGACCAAGCAGCCTTGGGCTGTCTCCAGGGCAACAGCAACACCTCTATCCGTCCTGCAAGAAGCCACAGGATTGAGATGAGCCAGTGAAGGTGGAACAGGGGAGGCTCAAGGAGCGGAAGTAGCCAACTGTACACTGCACTGGGACAGGCCCCGGGCTGTCGCTGTCTGAGGGTGCCACAGCAGCTGGGAGAGCAATACAGAGACCAACAGGGTAAGGAGGGGGCAGGCAGCCTAGGGACATACAGAACGTTACTGACTGAGGACTCCGGCCCCAGCTCCCACATCCGGAGGCCAAGATAAGCCCCATACCAGCACTAATCCTACTGCAGACTTGGCAGAGTTATCCAACAATTTTGGATTCTGATTTGGACACCACCACAGAACTCTGGACACCAGAGGAATTACATTACTCTTTTATTTGTTTGTTTATTTCATTTTCACTTTTCTGTCTAGATTTTTTTTAGGTTATTTAGGTTTTTACCTTTATTTTTCTTCTGTTCTATTCATTTTCTTTCTCTCTTTCTTCAACGATCTCTCTTGATTTTATGATATTGTCAGGCAACTGAACAGTCTCTAATCTTTCTGGTTCACTTTGGTAATCTTTTGCTTTGTCCTTCACTGTTTCTTTTCTGCCTTCTTGTGCAGTTTCCCAAACCTAGCATGGTCACCCTTTGTCTTCCTACGTGCTTCAACTGCATTTCCCTTCATTTATCTCTCTGTTTTGTCTCATGTGCTCTAATAAAGAAAATGATCTGAAAAATTCATTTTGAAAGATTCATGTAAAGACTCTGCATGGCATGCACTCTTTCAGCTACTTATTTGATCCTCTCAACTCTATGAAGAAGGAGTCTTAACATCTTTATTTTACACATGATAAATCAGAGGCAACAATGACCAAAATAAATCTGTACCAAAGCATACAATAATCAACATCCCAGTACCAAAATTCAGCACAAGAACAAAATATTAAAAGCTGTTAGAGAAAAGAAACAAGTTACCTATAAAGCAAAGCCCATCAGCATCACAGCAGACTTCTTAGCAAACACCATTAAGTCTAGGAAATCTTGGAGTGAAGTGTTTCAAGGCCTGAAAGAGAAAGATCTCCAACCCAACTTGATGCACCCCACAATGTTACATTTCAGAATTAATGCAGAAATAGATACTTCCATGACAAAGAACAAGTGAAGAAATCCATGACCACCAAACCAGCTCTACAAAATGTCCTGAAGGATTTTTAGAAAGAGATAACAAAGTCCATAATTCCACGAGCACCAATAGAAAGATGCCACCAGGGAGGGCAAGCAATTAAAAAGAAGAAAAAGACAGGGAACCAGTGGCAGAAAAAGAATATGAAAATGATAAGCCAATACATATAAGTTGCACCCACCAATATAAACAGCCTCAATTCAACAATCAAAGAAAAGAATGGATCAACACACAAGATCCAACCACATGGTGCATACAAGAAATACATTTAACTCAAAAGATTTTCATAGATTGAAAGTCAAAGAATGGAAACCACTATGTCATGTTACAAAAACCTAGAAAAAAGCAGAGGAGGATATTCTATTTGCAGCCTGTGTAAACTTCAAGCCAAGACTCATAGAAAGAGACAAAGAAGTTCACTGCATAGTTGTTAAGGGGAATACTCCTGTTAAGAAGAAGAGATAACAATCATAAATATATACGTACCACATACTGGTGCTCCCAACTATAGAAAACAAATATCCGTGAACATGGAAAAGTCAAATAAGCACTAACACAATTGTAATGGGGGACCTTAATACCCACTGTCACTAATAGATCAACTGGACAAAAAATCAACCAAGAGTCCAGGATATAGATCAGCATCACAGCACATGCCTGGAAAGTGTGAGGTGGTGAGGAGGTCAATTTCCAGTACCAAAAAAAAATCAACAAAGAAATACCAGAACTAAACCAAGCCTATGAACAAATGAACTTAGTAGGTGTCTACATAATACACAATCTTCTCAGGTGTGCATGGGATGCTCTTAAAAATAGACTACATATTATCTCACAAAACATGTTTATCAGACCATAGTGTAATTAAATTAGAAAACAGTGACACAAGAAACCACAAAAACCTCATAAACACATGGAAATTAAATGATAACCTACCGAACAATGAGTCACAGATGAAATTAAAGAAGAAATTAAACATAATCTACAATTAAATGGTCATGCAGACACAACATTCTTGAGCTTATGGGGTGTAATGAAAGCAGTCTTAAGAGGGAAATTTATAGCATTGGATTCTCATATCAGTAAAACAGAAGTAACTCAAAAAACATAAAACTGAACCTCAAGCTTCTATAAAAATAAGAATAAGTCAAATCCTCAGAGTTCAAAGCTCAGACACCAGAGAAAATTATAAAGATCAGAGCAGAAATTAATGGATTAAGGATGAAGAAAAATCAATCAATAAATGAGTTGGTTCATCGAAAGATTAAATAAAATTGATAAACACTGAGCCAACTTTAGCAAAAAAAAGGAAAGATTCAAATCCACACAATTATGAATGAAAATAGTGAAATCACAATAGAGCCTATGGAAATCAAGAATATAATCAATATCTACTTCAAGAACATTTACTCAGGTAAAATGGAAAGCACAGAAGAAATGCTCAGATAGATTCCTAGATACATATAAGTTACCCAAGTTGACCAAAAAGACTTAAAAATTGGAAATTAACTAACATCAGTCAATGACACTGAAAATGTAATTTAAAAATTTACCAACACAGAAATTCCTAGGTCCTGATGGATTCACTGTTGAATTATATAACAAACTTAGGACAGATCAACTCCATTACTTCTGATACTCTTTAATGAAATTTAAAGGGAAGCAATACTCCCAAAGTCTTTCCTGGAAGCAAGTGTTATCTTGATTCTAAAATCAGAGAAAAACCCAAACAAAAAAGACAACTACAGGCCAATCGCCCTAATGCACATAAATGCAAAATTCTCAATAAAATACTAAAAAATAGAATGCAAAATAATCATCAAGAAGATTATATACCCTGACCAAGTAGGATTCATCCCAGGGATGCAGGGCTAGCTCAACATATGCAAATCAATAAATGTAATATGCCATGCCAACAGAGCCACACACCAAAATCACATAATCAATAGATGCAGAAAAAGCATTTCACAAAGTCCAACACCCATTCATGATAAAAACCGTACAGAAAATTGGAATAGATGATCTTTATCTCACTCTGATAAAAGCCATCTATGATAGACTAACAGTTGACAGACTAAATGGCCAAAAACTAAAACCTTTCACTCTAAATTCAGGAACAAGACGAGGATATCCACTATCCCCACTCCTATTCAATATAGTTCTGGAAATATTAGCCAGAGCAATCAGACAAAAGAAAAAATAATAAAGTAATAAAGGTAGGAAAAGAAAAAGTTAAACTATTATTATTTGCAGATACTATGATACTCTACATAGAAGTTTTGAAGAACTCCACTGGAAGACTTTTAGATCCAAAAACCAAATTCAGTCACACAGCTGGATACAAAGTTACACTCTAAAATTGATACCATTCCTGTACACAAACAACAAACACACCTTGAGAGAGAAATTAGAGAAACAACACCTTTCATAATAGAATTTAAAAAGTGAAAGACTTAGGAATCAATCTAACAAAGAATTTAAAAGATCTCTACCCTAAAATCTACAGTACTCTGAAAAAGGAAATCAAAGAAGATATCAGAAAATGGAAAGATATCCCTTACATATGGATAGGAAGAACCAACATAGTGAAAATGGCCCTATTCCAAAAACACATATGCAAATTTAATGCAAACCCATTAAAAAACACCTAAACATTCCTAAAATTCATTCAGAACTAGAAGAGACCTGAACTAGCAAAAACAGTTTTTCTGGAGTACTGTTCTCCTTGGAGTATACTTTTCCATTCTTTGACTTTTATTTAGTCTATGAATTTCTTTTTGGATTAAATGTTTCTTGAATGCAGCATATTGTTGAATCTTATTCTTGATCCATTCTGCCAGTCTTTTTATTTTTGAACTGAGACCATTTACATTGATAGTTATAACTGATACATATTGGTTTATTTTTGTCATGTTATTTTCTTGTCTGTCTGTTTGTCTGTCTCTCTCTCTATCTCTGTACCAGGGATCAAACTCACAACCTTGCACTTACCAAGCAAGTGCTTGAATTGCTGAGCTAAAACCCTGGCCCCTTTCTGTTTTTAATTGCTTGCTCTACCTGGTAGCTTCTTTCTATCAGTGTTCTTGTGTTTATGACCTTCATTATCTCTTTCTAATATATTCTTCAGAGCATTCTGAAGAGCTGGTTTGATAGTCATGAATTTCTTCAGTTGTTCTTTGTCATAGAAGTATCTTATTTCTCTGTTGATTTTGACAGGTAGTTTTGCATAGTACATCAATCTGGGTTTAAAATTGTTTTCTTTTAGGGACTGAAATACCTCATACCAAGCTCTCCTTGATAAGAGGGTTCCTGTCAAGAAGTCTGCTGGGATTCTGATGGGCTTTCCTTTATAGGTGATTTGTTTCCTTTTTAAAGATACTTTTAATATTTTGTTCTTGTGTTGAATTTCTGGAATCCTGATTATCATATGCCTTGTGTAGATTTATTTTGGTTATAGCTATGTGGAGTACTATATGCTTCATTTATTCAGATTCTTTGTCCATGTTTGGGAGATTTTCTGCTATTATTTCTGAGAAGTTTTTAATGGCCTTTATGCTGTCTCTACCTTTCTCATGGACTTCAATCTGTTACTGTTTTTTGCTTCATCTTATGACTTTTGGACTGATGTCATGATTTCTTGCTATTTTAAGGTATCTTTCTTTTTCTGATCAATAGCTGCAATTGTGTCTTCTAGATCTGTTATTCTATACTCCCTTTTATTCCATCTGTTGGGCATATTTTCAATGGAGTTTTTAATCTCCTGGATTCCTGTTTGGATCTGTTCCATTGATACCATTTCTTTTCTGTGTTGGACGTTCATAGTTTCTATCATGTTCCTGAGTTCCTCTA